CCCAGGGCCTCTGATTTTGCTTCATCTGGGTGACAGTTGAAGTGAGGGACAGGCGGTCGGGGGTGGGGTGGGGACGGGGGTGACTCCAACCGGAGGGAAGGAAAGTGAGTTGGGCTGGGATAAGGTGAATTAGAGGGCAAGAGCCCAAGAGGTCACGGGGAAAAGTGGCTGGGAAGGCGGTGCCCCATCTCACCCCTCCAGCCTCAGTTTACCTCCTGGTCCTTTCCTTGCAGGGTGAATGGAATCGGCAGCCTCTGCCTGAGATCATCTCCAAGCTAGAAGAGCCCACCTCTCGCTGCCCAGCCAGCCAGGATCAGAGCCCCTCCAGCCACACTGTGGTCAACATTGGTGGGGGCAAAGGTTGAGTGGGGGACTATCTCTCACTCCCCACTCCATGCTACGGCTGTGGGATCACACCAGCTCTGTGCACCCCCACTCTGTGAAGAGCCCCGTGTGCCCAGGATGAACGGGCAGGGCCCAACCCCCCTCCCCCCCGGCCTAATACCATGGTCCATTCTGGCGTTTGCCCCTCAAGGATCCCCTGCATGCGGAGAGGGTCCCGTGAGAGTCCCCTGTTGACCCACCTGGGACTGGGGGCGACCAAGGCCTTCTCCACACCCCCCTCGGTGGCCTAGAGTCCAGTGCCCCCAAAGCCCCGCCTACCTCGCTGAGAGGGGCTGGTCCTGGCTGCGGGGCAGACCCCCCGACACGACCCCCGCGTCCCCAGCCCCCGTGGATGGCGATCTGTGTCGGTGCGCTCTGGGTACACGTGCTACTTAAACGTTTCCCTGCAGAGTGGCTCCTTTGTCACAGTGGGCGTCTTCCCTGCCACGGAGGCAGGACAGCCACTTAGCTAGTTAGAGATTTGCCTGGGGAGACTGCTCTCTCCCAGGGTAAACAGATATTTTCGCCCACCTAAAGGGAAATGCTAACAAGTCTCACCAGCACTGAGAGATGAGTCGGCAGAGACCCAGACGGGGATCTGGGTGCCAGCTCCTTGGGGAGGTGGAGTTATCAGCCCCGGCTGCTTTCCTCGGCGGCCTGCGGTGGAGGTGGGACTGGGGTGGGTCACTCCACCTCCCTGATCCTCAGTCTCCTCATCTAGCAAATGGGGCCCACGCCGTTGGGTGAACGAGACCATGAAACTCACACGCGGGCCGGCGCCTAGGGGCACCGCCCCCACGGGAGGAGGCCTCGTCTGAGCCTCCTTTCCACGGCGGGCGCCCCGCCCCTGGAGGAGCCGGTACGCGCCCCACGCGTCCTGGGCCAGTCTCCGCCTTCGTCCCCTCTGCGCTGCCTCCCATTTGAGGCCGCGTTTGGCTCCCTGATGGTTTCTGCAGGGACTAACGGACTTGGCTCTGTTCAGCCAGTTCAGCAAAAACGCTGCACGGCCTCTAGGGGACCAAGAGGGTGATGGATGGGCCTCCCGGGCCTCCCCGCTCAGAACCCGTCGGCCTCTCCTCCTGAGGGCCATTTCATTACAGGCGCGAACAAATGGGCCCAGACACTGCAGTGCGTCGTATAAATCATGGCTCCCTGCGCCGTAAGTCACAGGGCACGATCTCCCGACAGAGGCTGGAGGGCCGGCCGGCCCTCTGTCACCTTCACAGTCTGGGATGACAGGCGGAGGGGAGGCCCCTCCCTGCAAAGGCGGGCCTCGGGAAGGTGGCCTGGAGCACACCCAGGCCCAGGAAGACCCCTTCCCTCTGAGCACGATGACTGCCAGCGGGGACAAGGGTCCTGGCCAGCCCGGGGCTGTGGGAGAGGGTGCCAGGGGGCCCCACAGACCACGGCGAGCCAGCCTCACACCCACTGGGCCCTTCCTGGCCACCATCACTTTCGTCCTGAGCCCCCAGCCCCGACACAGCACTTGAGCCTCCCAATCTCCCCAGAGGAGAAACGCTTCACCCAGGGTCCCCGGCGGATTAGTGGCCATAGGGAAATCGCACCCGTCCAGAACCTTCTGCAACCCAGATGCCAGCCCCTCCCCCCACCACGTCACTCACTTTCACCCTCTCAGGCTCGTCTGCCTCGTGCCCCCAGGACAGCCTGTTGTGCGCTTCCCGCAGGGACCCCTGCGTGCATCCCGCCCGGCCCCTGCCCCTCCACCCAGCCCCGCCTGGATTGTTGCACCCCCGTTCTTGCTAAGAGCCGCCACCGTGCGCACACTGGCTCTGTGCCAGCCCGCCCGGCAACCCCACGGCATAGCTGTTTCTGCTCCCGTGGGCAGGAAGGGAAACTGAGGCATAGAGCCCGACACTTCGGTGCTGTGGTCACCCAGCGGGAGCCGTGCCGCCCAGCAGCCAGCCCGGATGCGTCAACTGGAGAGTCTGGCCTCTCCACCTCCGTTTCCTTGGGCAACAGGCACCATCCCTGTGCCCCGCAAGGACTTGGCAAGGGCATCTGGGAGAAATGGTTTATTACCTAAAAGCAGCCCGTCAGGGCGAGGCTACTACTTTGGTCCAAGTCCTTCGAATGACCCTCGGGGCTCTTCTGAGCAGTCCAGTGGAGGAAGAGTGAGGGTCTAGCAGCCTGGGTTCCCATTCCTCTCTCTGCTGTGTGGCCCTGGGCCAGCCGCTTTCCTTCTCTGGGCCCGTCTCCCTTGCTGCCCATTGAGGGGCAGGGGCTGCGAGGGTGGCATGACCGGGCAGCTGTGAAGTGACCTGAGTCCCAGGCCGAGGTGTGCTCACGCAGGATTGATGCTGAGAGGGTCCGGAGGGGGGCGGCGTGGGGGGCGGGCGTTCTCAGTCTGCACGCTCCAGCCAGAGCAGGTGTATCTGCCTGAGCTGGCCCCAGGACGCTCCAGGGCTGTGCTGCCCGGTGGCCAGGGGCCTCATGTGGCTATTCAAGCATAATTTTCAATGAATCAAAATGATATACAAGGGAACATTTGGGTTCTCGGTCACACCTGCCACATTTCAGCTACATGTGGCCGTGGCTGCGATACTGCACGGATAGAGTGCACTGGCTCATCGCAGCAGGTTCCCCCGGGCTGCGCTGTCCCCCGGGGCTGCGGTCCCAGACAGCACCAGCCTCACTGAGCGGTGGGGAGGGGAGGACACATGCCCGATGGGCCGCAGCGGGCCCGGCCCCGGCTGGCTCTGCAAAGAGCAGCCGGATGGTCCTTCACGCTGCAGAAGGATTGGCCTCCTGGGCCCCCACCCCCACCCCGTGCAAAGCCTCAGCAGCGCCCCCCATCGTGACCAGCAGAATGCTCCCACAGGTCCCCAAATGTCCCGCAGGGACAGGCTCCCCCAGCTGCCAATGGCTCTCCTGGTCCCCGGCCCCC